TCATGGGCCTAAAGTGTAGAAGAGGAGGGGCTGCCAGGGCAGGCCGCGCGCCCCCTCTCCCCCTAGTCCGAATTGGACAAGGAGGAAGGGGCGGCGCCCCCCTCTCCTCTCTCCCTTCCTCCCCCCTCTCCTACTTGGACAAGGAAAGGGAGGGGAGTCCTACTCCCGGTAGGAGTAGGACTCCTCCTGCGCGCCTCCTTCTAGGGCCGGCCGCACCCCCCCTTGGATCCTTTATATACGGAGGCAAGGGGCACCCCAGAGACACAAGTTGATCCACGTGATCTTATTCTTAGTCGTGTGTGGTGCCCCCTTCCACCATAATCCTCGATAATATTGTAGCGGTGCTTAGGCGAAGCCCTGCGACGGTAGAGCATCAAGATCGTTACCACGCCATCGTGCCGACGGAACTCTTCCCCGACACTTTGCTGGATCGGAGTCCGGGGATCGTCATCGAGCTGAACGTGTGCTAAAACTCGGAGGTGCCATAGTTTCGGTGCTTGATCGGTCGGGCCGTGAAGACGTACGACTACATCAATCGCGTTGTGCTAACGCTTCCGCTGTCGGTCTACAAGGGTACGTAGATCACACTCTCCCCTCTCGTTGCTATGCATCACCATGATCTTGCGTGTGCGTAGGCATTTTTTTGAAATTACTACTTTCCCCAACAGTATATATGGAAATTCCTCCTGGGTTTAGAAGCCGGGAAACAGAGGGTAAAGTGTGTCGGTTAACAAAGTCTCTGTATGGACTAAAACAGTCTCCTACGGCATGGTTCGGAAGGTTTCGAAAGGAAATCTGTTCCATAGGTTATCGGCAAAGCAATGAAGATCATACCCTATTCTTTAAATGCCAGTGCGATTACATTACTATACTTCTTGTTTATGTAGATGACATTGTGATTACAGGTAACAATGAGGTGGAGATATCTCAGTTGAAGAAGATGTTAGCAAAGTCGTTTGAAGTCAAGGATATGGGATTCTCCACTACTTCTTGGGAATCGAAGTTGCATATGGCCCAAAAGGTATTTATCTCTCACAAAGAAAATATGTGCTTGATTTACTTGAGGAGACATGGATGTTAGGATGCAAACCTGCAGTCACACCAATAGAACAGAATCATCGGATCTCTGCAGATGGCGGTGATCCCGTTGATAGGTACCAATACCAAAGGCTAGTTGGGCGGTTAATCTATCTGTCACATACGAGACCAGATATAGCATATGCTGTTAGTATTGTAAGCAGATACATGCATGACCCTAGAATTAGCCACTTAGATGTTGCGAATAGAATTCTAAGATACTTAAAGAGTTGTCCTGGGAAGGGAATCCTGTTCACTAATCATGGACATCTGAGAATCAAGGGGTACACAGATGCGGACTGGGCTGGATGCTTAGATGATAGGCGTTCAACTTTGGGCTACTGCATGTTTGTCGGAGGAAATTTGGTTAGTTGGAGAAGTAAGAAGCAGAGTGTGGTAGCTCGCTCGACAGTGGAAGCGGAGTTTAGGTTAATGGCTTCAGGGTTGTGTGAACTGATGTGGCTAAAAACATTGCTAACGGAGTTGCAGTTGTGCAGTGGTGCACCTATTCAGGTATATTGTGATAATCAGGCCACAATTAACATAGTGAACAACCTTGTTTATCATGATAGAACTAAACATATTGAGATAGATAGGCACCTTATCCAGGAAAAATTAGATGAAAGGTTATTCCAAATTAGTTATGTTAGGTCAGTAGATCAGCTTGCAGATGTATTAACAAAAGGGATAGGTGTTGTATCATTTATGAGGATTTGTAACAAGATGGGGCTTATTGACATCTTCGCCCCATCTTGAGGGGGAGTGTCGGACTCTTGTTGTATAATAGGAAAGCTAGAGGTCTTATGTGTAAAAGTGAAGCTCTGTAAATATCTGTACTGAGGATGAATGGATGAGGTTGCCCCGACCAGAAATTCCAATTTCTTCCCCTTCTCTCACCTCTGACTCCTCTCTGATTAGGTGTGTGTTCCACAACAGTCCATAACACACACACGAATGCAACAACTTGACATTGGCCAGCGGCACATATCATGCCTCGCATTTCTTCTATGGCTTTTGTATTTTTCTAATGTTTACAACTTGATGACTACCGCTGCTTATATACATGTACTCATAGTCTCATACCTCTACCTAGTACCTAGTCATACTCTATTTTAATCTACATGTACTCATAGTCTCATACTAGGTTCGCAACATGCAAGCTTACAAGTTACAACACACTCAGATGGACATGGACAACAGGTTCTATGCGACTCGTACACTAACAGTTTTATTGATGCAACATCACGTTTGGCTGAAAGGAATGCACTGTTTAAACTCCATACCTTATATTTCCCCAAAAACCTGTGCCTTTGTCCAATTTTCATCATATCAACATCCCTATCCAAAACAATCTTTACTGGCCTTCTTAGACAATAGGAAGCTACGGACGCTGCCGCAACAAATATTACTGATCTAGTTTCTTTTCCTCCAAATCCGCCACCAATACGCTTAGTCTTGCAAACAACTTTTGATAGTGGAAGACCAAGAACATTCGCAACATACTTCTGATGCGTATGGGGAGCCTTAAGATAAATAACATTTAGTCAAATAATAGTATATATAAGACTGAGTGCATATGCAATGTTGAACAAACATGACACAAGACACTGGTAAAAATAGACAAGTGAACTCACAAAAATAAGGGCAGGAAAGACAATACTACAATTTGTACTGGAAAAACATTTAGCTGAAAACTGCCAAGGTCTAAACAAACTGAACCAAGACAGGCACTCAACTTTGACGCACTTCTCTTCGACGAAAGAACTCTGTGATGAACCTTTGGTACATGTGATACACATGAGGCTTATTTTGTACAGCCTCTGTAAACTAATATAAGACCTTTTAGGTCACTACTTTAGTGACCTAAATAAAAATTACTGGCACCGAGTCATTAGGTGACTAGGTACTATGTAATATACAAATCCTTAGAAGTGAAGCCTACTGAAAAAATGGACCGCACCAGATGCTGGGCTATAGCCTATAATAAGCAGAAGCACTAGTTACAGTGGGTCCCACCCCCTCTACCGCTACCTCTTAACCTGACACTTAGAAGAGAAGGTATTGCTTTGCAGTATCTCTAGGTGAGCCTGAGTTTCATACTCCTTTTTCTAGATTATTACTTATTTCAGAATAAGCTATTACTTTTTTTCCGAGCAAGCACCAAAGTGTGTGTCATTTCTCAATAAAAGAACACAAAGAAGGCACAAAATGTACATTTCTCGTTAGATTTGTGGTTCGTTTCTAAATTTGTGTTTCGTTCATAAAGAAGCTATTGCTTTGGGAGCATCAAACATATTATCGACATATGAAATTCACATTATAAATTTAAAATTAAAGAACAGAGCATACTTGAGTAGATGAGATCATATGTATTTCATTTCCAGAATCAACTGGCCAGACAAGAGTGCATTGAGGTTCCATGTAGAAGTGCTCTTGACCTCCGACTCGAACTTCTCCTTCTATAATTTTATCGCATGTATTGGATGCAAAACATAGTTCAACATCCCCTTTCGAAAGGCATCTCGTGGTATGTGGATGAAAACTACCAGCTTTGATAGCTTCCTCTATTGAGAGGATTGCTGGCAGCTCAGAATACTTGATATTTACTTTATTTGCAGCAGCTTTTGCATTATCATGGGTGTCTGCCACAACGATTCCGATGATCTGCCAATGAGAAGAGAAAGGTGTAATTTGACAAAATAACAAAGATGCGGGACATTCCACCTGCCAAGTCATATCAAAACATGTACGACTAAAATATAAGATCCAACAGATATACCTGGCCAACACAAGTAATGACATCAGATGCAAAAACCTCCCCATCATGGATAATTGGCCCAATATTCTTTTTTTGGAGGAATCTAATTGGACCAATATTGTTAGCACCGGGAACATCTTTTGAGAGGAAGAGACCAGCGAACCCAGGGGAACATTTGGCAACTGAATCATCAATACACAAAATGTGAGCGTGAGCCTCCTTACTCAGTACCAGAGCAGCATGCAATGTATTCGGGGGTGTCGGTGTGTCATCAACATATTCTGCCTCACCAGTCACCTAGAATATTGGATGATCTAGCAAGTCACGAAATAAAATATAACAAAACAACCCCCCGCTTTTATAGTTAGTTAGTTAATTAAGTCGTTAATTGTTAAAAACGTTTGTTGTTTCTTCCATCTGGAGGTGTTGTATTTTGCATCATTTTGGCGCGCTTCTGAATAAAAATGGCATGCATTTGAATGTGTGGTCCAGAAAGAAAGATTTTATAAAAGAACATTATAGTAACAAAAAACAAGACGAAAACTAGCTGAGAAAGCAGAACCAACTGGGTTCCAGTTTGTGTAAACCAGCTTCGGATTGTCCGATTCACCCACCTAGCCCACTTTGAATTCAACTTCCATATACATTGGTTTGGATCTGATTCCAGATATCTAATTAACAAAACCCTGGCCTCAGGTATAAAACATTGAGTTTGGCAGAAAAATAGAACACAGAGGAAAGACAGGATTATTTGGCTAGCATGATGTGGTCAAAGATCTGATTCACATTCCAGATAGCAAAACAAGTTTGATGCTGCCTTGGTATCAATGCCGTCAAAAAGCAAGAGATTCACGGCATGGCTGAATTGGAGATCTAATAAAGCAGAAAAAAATAATATCAGGAGAGATCTGACATTAAGTTAAGCCAAGGTCCAAACTGAACTTTATTTTTTCACAAGCTCCCAGCAGCGGCTAATGAAAACGAAGTTTACATGTGGAACTGAAAGGCGCCCAGGGGATTAGACAGAGACCAGGTCCCCAAAGTGCATTTTGTCCAAAAGAATCCCAAACACAACAAATGTAAGCAAGAAAGAAGACATGATGTTTTCCAAGCAGCAAGTTGTAGAGGTGATGAAAATGGGAGAAATATTGTACCTCCGACACCAGGAACTACAAGATGCCTAAAAGTACAGGTACTCCTCATGAAAGTGGTTTGACCAGGAAAATTTCCATGTATTCTGATTTGAAGCAAGGATGACACAACTTAAAACTTAGATTCTGTAAAATGCTAAAATATTAATAATACCTGAAGCATAGCTGACAAATGAACCATTGGTTGACCCACGGCAGTCCCTTGTCGCACTAATTCATAACCTTGAGTTCCAATTGTAAGAGGCCTAGTGTAAGACTGTATGGCTGGCATATTAGCTATATCCAGCCCCTCCGACAATCCTTTAGTGTTCAACTCATGTGTCACATAAAGGAAAAATTTGAAAAAGAAACTCAAAGTAAGTGAACTACGAAATTCAACCATTCCACCTGGTGCATTCTCTGCTAGTGGAATGTCCTCTTTTAACAAATTAAAGGCCTCATCCAACAATCCATAGTCCAACTTCTTTCCAACAAGGAAACTTTCAGTTTTTCCAGCTGTGAGTGGAACCGGAGCTACCCCTCCATAGACGATAGAGACATTAGATACTATCCAATTTCCTTCAGCTTCTGTTATATGCACACGCATTCCAGCATTCACCAAAGCAATGTCATCCTGCCTCCTATGAGCCTATTTAAATTCTTTGACATACTCAAATGGCATTGTCCATGGTAGTATAACAGATAGCAATACTTCATCATCCTTTAAATCAACTTTACGGTAACCAAGAAAGAAATCTTTTGCAATGGTGGTCCTAACATTGTTGTTAACATCAATTATCTGGAATATTGCACCTGTAGACATCCAAAGTGGATTTAGGTCTGATATTGGACTAACAGTACAAATGTTACCACCAACAGAAGCAACATTCCTGATTTACGTTCCCGCAAACCATTTTAGCTGTCGTAGTATTGCCTAACAAGACGAAGTTTGAAGAGAACCACGCTCTGCAATAACCTTCTTTAGGAACTCCTGGAGCTGTGCAAGTCTAACTGCAGAACCAATTCTTAAGCCATCCTCTTCTGCTTTAAGGGTGTGGAGTTCTGGAACATGGGTAACTGAGATCATTACCCCATATTGAGCATTCTTGAACTTTGTTTCAACTCCCACTTCGGAGTTACCAATGATAAGTTTTGCCTCTGGGTAGCATGATTTCAACTGCAGTAGCTGGTCTAGTTTAAGAGGTCTATACCAACTGATCCCGTTGAACCCATTCAGTCTAAGTGGCATAATTTTTCTCAACTGATGTTCAGGAGGAAAAATGAGTTCCTTCTCATTGTATGCATTTCCATCAATTTCGTTATATGAACTAGGTAAGTAGGTTTTCCCCGAAGACAATAGTGAAGAATCATTGCCATTGACATATGTCTCATTTCTGCACAAACATGGCTTCCCAGTTGAAGGGCAGATAGCTTTGCCATTGACACTTTCCGAGGGTGAAGCAGTGTAGAAGGAATCATCCGTTTTCACAAAAACACCGAAGGCATCTATTATTGGTCTGTAGCCAGTACAGCGACACAAATTTCCTGCAAGGCTATCTTCAATCTGCTCTTTAGTAGGGCGTTGTTTACTTGATCGCAGCAGCGCATACATGGACATCACAAAACCAGGGGTGCAAAATCCACATTGTGAACCATGTGCCTTGGCTAAACGTTCCTGTAATGGATGTAGAGTCATAGACCATCACGAGGAAAATAGGTATGAAATGGATGTCGGGAACTGATGAAAGAATTTTGCTAAGAATTCCACTTTTTGTTCTCAGCATACAGTAGACTGTCAAAAATGAACACAAAATGGAAGTGTAACAGCTTCGTACATGTCCACATTTTCAAGAAATGGATTCTAAGTAATCAACTCTGAGACAGTAAACAAGCTTAATGAATGGGTAGGGTTTCCATGATGACTTCACATATTTCGAGACAGTTGACCTAATTACATCATATGGCATGTTCAATCAAAATATAAACTGTCAAGTAAAAAATTATACAGTTGAAATGCATTTTTTCCTATACTGAACAAAATTGCTTTTAATCATGTTCATCAGTTTCTTCTATTTTTGCCAGTCATAGTTGGCCTGTGTACTACTACTCTTATGGTAAATTTGGTGCCTCTATTAGCTAGATAGGTTAACACCACATGTCAGATTCAGACATACTGCAAATCCACACCCCACCTACTGCGTATGCATGGGTAGGCTTTACAGCTAAAAAGTCTTAACATTTAACCTGTGAGGAAATATGTCGCTGCTAGAAGGAGGGCGCGAGAGGGCCGGCCGGGGCCTTTTGCCCTGGTCGGGCAAGAGGGAAGGGATTTTCTTCTTAATTCTTGCTTGATTAGATTGATACATCTCATCTCTTTATATAGAGAGGTTTACTTGACTCCCAAGCAAGGCTTACTTGACTCCTAAGCAAGCGACCCTTATCTCTAATTAACCCTAAGACTAACGGGCTATACTGCCAGCCCAGGCCCATTAGGCCCATTACATACTCTAACATTAATAGATTCCATATCCACCACTTCACCAGCTAGTATGGAAATAAATTAAAAACAATAATATTGTTTACCTTAGTTAGGATCATATTAGTAACAGAAGTAGCTGCCACATGGATACCTACATGTCAATCAAAAACAGTGCATCACCTGGACTGGATGCAAACCTCGCCGGCAATTTCCAATTCCCTTGACTGTGATTATGTGCATTCCTTCCAAAGAATAAAGTGGAGCCAAGCATGCATTTATTGCAAAGTGCCTAAATAATGTAATGATTTGGGTCAAAATGGAGCTCAGATTCAAGAAATGGGCAATAACCACAAAACATGCATAACAGTTAATATATAGGATTTACATTTGCCCTTAAAATGGTTCATTAGCAATGCACACCACTATAACAGTTAAACACCACATGTTGTAAATGCAAGCAAGCTAGAGTTCGCGAATGCATGCTGTGTTTCAGCTAGAACAAAGCTATATGTGAAAGAATATAGACTCAATAAGGGTGAACGTGTTGCAGAATCTGTTTCACATTGCTATGTGAACCTCAGATTTTTTAGGATGTGTTTGATGTGGGAACCAAGTATAATGGATTGGAATGGTTCCATCCCTTGGAGAATGGAAAGAAATGGAATGGAACGGTTCCATCTAAGTGTTTGGTACCAAGAACGGAGCAATTCCAGATTTGGATTGGAGGGATGGAATGGAACAGGATGATTCCATTATGTTTTTTTTCCGAAAAGGAGGATTACCCCCGGCCTCTGCATCATGCGATGCACACAGCCATAGATGATTCCATTGTGTGTTTGGTTGGAGGAATGGGATGGAATGAATATGGTAAGCCACCTCCTGTATGGAAAGGGTGAGGTTATTATAACTATATAGGCGCATATGTGTAAATTTCATCAATAACTAATTTGTATTTTAAATAACATTTCATTCAGCAAGAATAACTCAAATTAGATAGAGTGAGAATGACATGACTTGTTGAAGGAATAAGATGCTCACTGTGATTTCCTTGTAC